CGGGTTGTGAGTGCAGCCCGCGGGCAAGCCAGAGCGCGGGCCAGTTCTCCTGCGGTGGCCAGGCCTGGGTGCGGGCACGAGACAGGCGCCCCGCAGGCTCAGGCCCACGTGGCGCAGCCATGAGGGCGAGTCCGGAGAGGGTGGGTGGGTGCGGGGAGTCCCTCCACGCAAGGGCCTGTGGAAACCCAACCGAGGTCTGGGCGGAAAACAGACCCCGGACGTTCTTCCCTCTCCCCAGGCCTGAACTGTAGTAGCGGCGGCGCTTCCTGAGCTCTGGCACCTCCAACCGCCCACTTTGTTCTGCCTGCATTACCTGCCGAGGCCTACCCCATCTCTGCAACCCAGATGGGCTGGGGCCTCCATTCATGCCCAGCCGCTCTCTCACTGTCCTGAGCAGGCCCACCCTTAGGAAGGGTCATGGAAGGGCCCCTGCAGGATGCAGAAGAGACCCCGAACACCCAGGGCCATGCCACCGACTGGAGGTTTGCTGTGTGCAGTTTCAGGGATGCCTGGGATGAGGAGGAACCTGCTCCTCAGATACAGGTTCTGGACCCCTGCCCTCTAAAACCACCAGCAGGGGCAGCCCAGGGCGAAGGGCTATTGGGCAGCCCTTTGCCCCAGGAGCTTCAGTCACTCCCAGATGGGATGGCTGCAGATGGGTCTGGAGGTGGCCAGAAGAGCACTTTAGGAGGCCCTGCTGCCCAGTCTGAGGAGCCAGCCCCCTGTGCAGGGAAGAGCCTGCTATGCCACATATCCTCCCACCTGAGCCTGGCACAGGGTGAGAGCAATGGCCCAGGGGGAGGCTTGGGTGAGGACCTAGGTCCAAGCAGGGCAATGTCAGCTGGCTTGGGCCCTGGGGGATTGGACAGCAGTCCTGTGGACTTCAGAGAAAATATATCACAGACATCTTCAAAGCTGCTGGAGGCAGGTAAGGAAGGCTGGCCCAGGGCAGTCTGGGAAGGGAGTAGGAGAGCCTGGAGGTGGGTGTTGAGAATTGGGAGGGCTTTGGTCCTACTCAGGCCAAAGACCAGGTCCAAGGCAAGATCTTGGGGTAGGTCTACAGCTCAATGCAGACCCAAGACATTTCCCTTCCCAAGACCCCAGTAGATCCAGTCTCCCTAAGCCTACGGACTGCCTCCTGGCCCAAGACCTCACCTGGGAGCTGCTGGCCAGTGGCATGGCTGCCCTGCCAGGTAGCTGGGAGAACCTGTGGTGGTGGAGGTGAGGTGACCTGATTGGGCAGGTGTTCACTGCTTCTTCCCCTCAGGAACTCGAGATGGAGAAGGCCGAGCTGTGCTGCTCCTTTGTGCCCACAACCCAGGCTGGCTTCACCCCAAGTGCAGCAGCCAGGAACTCACCCGCCTCCTGCTCTACCTGAGAAGCATCCCCAGGTACTGGGGAGGCGGTTAGGACTTCCAGATGTTAGGACCTGGAAATCTGATACTGAACGGAAACTCACCCCTTCAGGCCGCAAGTACAAGTCCTGGGACTGACAGTGCTAGTGGATGCCCAGATTTGTTCTCCAAGCTCTTCCCTCTTCTGGGGACTTAACCAATTACAAGTGAGTACAGGATTATAGCTCCCTCTTCTCATTCCTTTTGGCAGACTGGGGGCAGGGCTGAGCTCAAATTCCTTGCAGGAAGCAGCCCCAGGGTCAGTTCACCAGGTGATGCTAGTGGGAAAGATGCCTGAAGAGGTGCCTTCTGGGATACAGGTACTGAGCCAAGTGGACTGGGGGTAGCTGGGATGCTTTCCCACCCAGGCCTGGTCACAGCACCGTCTTCTGCAGCTGGAGCAGCTGCCCTCTCATCAGAGCCTGCTGACCCACATCCCTACCGCGGGATTGCCCACTTCACTGGGAGGATGCCTGCCTTACTGCCACCAGGCCTGGCTGAATTTCCGGATGGTCAGTGTACCAGGTGGGGTGTGGAGGGGTTAGACAGGCAACCTGGGCCAGCCGGGGAGCTTTCCCTGGGCTGGTGTGAGCAAGGCAAAGCTGTTCCTGTGGCCTGGTATCCAGGAGGCTGAGGCCAGCACTGCCCACTGCTCTGGTCATGCCTGCTCCTGTTCACAGCGTCTGGAAGCCCTTCTGCAGTGCTGTCAGGTGGTTTGTGCCCTGCTCCAGGGGGCCATCGAGGGTGTAAAGGCTATGCCTCAGCCTACGGAGTCTGTGGTGAGTGTTCCCTCTCAGCACCTGAAAGTTCCTTGTCTTCCTCCTCATCTCCAATGCTCACCTTCACTGCCTTCAATCACAGGAAGTTGGTCAGCTGCTCCAGCAGGTGCAGGGCCTGATGCAGCAGGTGCTAGAGTCGCCACAGCTGGCATGGCTACAAAGCCAGGGGGCCTTGGAGCTGGCATGGCTGAAGCAGGAGGTCCCAGAGGTGACCCTGAGCCCAGACTACAGGTAGATGCAAGCCCAGCTCCCAGGCCTTGCCCTTCACATCTCATGCCAATGACTCACCTGGCTGGCTCTGAACCAGCTGGGCTCATGGTCCCAGGGCAGGGTAAAGTGGAGCCTATTACCCATACCAGGCCAGCAGTAGACAGGGCTGACAAGATGTATGGCCACGTGGACAGACTGCTGCACCAGCTGACCCTGCAGAGCAACCAGCAAATACAGACCCTAGAATTGGTCCAAACGTTGGAGGCCCAGGAGGCCGGACTGCACCAGGTGGGAATGACCTGCCCTGAGTGGACCCCGGGTCTCAGGCAGGAACCCATAGCAGCTCTTCTCACTTTTCCCTGCTTGCGCCCCTCCAGATAGAAGCGTGGCTCCAGGAGGTGGGCTGGCCAGCACTGGTGGAGCCAGAGGAGCCCTCGCTGGACGTTCTGCTTCAGGCCCAAGGCTCTTTTCGGGAGCTGGACCAGGTTGCCCAAGTAAGTTTGGTCACTTGTCATTTGCAGGTATTGGGGCACTTCACCAGGGACTGGGAATGTAGGAGTGAATGAAAGCAAACCAACCTCTTGCTCTGTTGGAATTTATAGTCCAGCAGAGGAGACCAGTTGAATAAAAGATTCACATGTTTATGTGTTTGCAGACTAAGCCAAGAGTGCTATAGAGAAGCAACATGGGTGGTTCTCTCTCGAGTGTGTAATAAAGACCTGGCCCAGCAGGGGTGTTAGATGAGCATTTTGGGGGATGACATTTGAAGAATAAGTTGAGTTCAACTAGGAAGGAAAGGGTCGGGGACAGAGGCATGTTCTAGTCAGGGGAAGCAGCATGTGCAAAGCTCCTGTGGCGGGTGGGTGGGAGTGTGGTGTTCCTGAACAACCATAAAGCCAGTGAGGCTGAAACGCAGAGCAGAAGAGAGTGCTGGGGGAGATGAAGTGTGACCAGGCTGAAAGATGGGTTTATGACCAGATCACTGGCCCTTGTAGTAGCATTAAGTTTAATTTGGAAAATTACATAACCAGATCCATATTCTAGGAAAATTACCTTTGTTTCTGGGTAGACAACAACGTGGAGGATAGATGTGGAGAGTCCAGTGAAGAGGCAATTGCTTTGTCCAGATAGAAAGTAATGCTTTCTCTGGCCAGGATGGTGGCAGGGGGGATGGATTTGAAAAGTGGATGTGAATTGATTGTGGGTCCACAATGGAGGATAAAGAGGAGGGAGATTGTAAGGATGAGTGGGTGCTGCTCTTTCAGGAGACAAAGACTTTCTTGGGGAAGCATATTCATGAGTCCAGTGTTAGGTTCACTTGTTTTCTTTTTCAAGTCACCAGATGTGGGACTCCAACCATGCAGTTAGCTATGTGGGGATCCAGCCCCTCAAATATCAGGCCACAGGGCCGGCTCCCCTGCTCCCTCCGAGAGAGAAAGCACTCCCCAACAGGGCCTCATCCTACCATAATCCTTTTTCCTCCAGTTCTGCATCCACTAGAATCCTCAGTGCTCATGCTCCCAGCATGTTTTTCAGGCGTATGGGGCCAGGACTTGAGCTCTGGCCAGCCATGAGAGAACTGGCTTTCTCTGTGCAGTGATTCTAGGGCCAGATCTTGGGCATGCTTTTGAAATGACAAAGGGAGTAAGGAGAAGGCCCTGGCATGTTGGGTCTGAAGCTTGGAGGAAAGGTCTGGCTGAAGAGGGTCACTGGCACAGGTGGGCATTGATGACATTTGAAGTGTGGTCACATGTTTTGCCCAGGGAAGAGAGTGGAGTATCAGCAAGGAGCCCCATTGTTTAATGGCCCAGGTGAGGGAAGGGGAGCAGGAGGAAGAACCACTACAGAAGAACGAGAAGAATGAAGAGTTGTGAGGAGTTGTGGGAGCTTAGTGGGGAGAGGGTTGAATACTGCTGAGACGTGAAGCTCGAAGGCCTGAGAAGAGATGGGACTGTGTGTGTGTGTGTGTGTGTGTGTGTGTGTGGGCGCGCAGTACAGAGAGACTTGACAAGGGTGTGCAGATGTCAGAGGGAGAGCTCTGGGGGCGAGGGACATACCACCAGGCCTTGTGTGTGTGTGTGTGTGTGTGTGTGTGTGTGTGTGTGTGGTGTCTCCCACCACAGAGAGACTTGACAAGGGTGTGCAGATGTCAGAGGGAGAGCTCTGGGTTCGAGGGCCATACCACCAGGCCTAGGCTGGCTGAGCCTAGTCTCTGTCTCTCTAGGAGCAGGTCAGGCAAGGGGAGAAGGTTCTGCAGCCACTGGCTGGCTGGGAGGCAGCTGACCTGGGCCCCTGTGGGGCACGCTTTATGGCCCTGCGAGCGCAGCTCACTGAATTCTCCAGGGCTTTGGCCCAGCGGCGTCAGCGGCTGGCAGAAGCTGAGAGGCTGTTTCAGTCCTTCAAGCAGGTGGGTGAGGGGTTTTGCCCTGGCTCTCCATGCTCAGTGGGGCCAGCTGCACCACAGCTCGGGCACTTACTGGTGGCTCTGCTGATTCTCTTTTCTTGTCTTCAGTCTGACTTGAAAATCCAGGCACTGAGGTTGGGACCTCGGCCAGCATCCTGAGAGGACAGGGAGTGGGGGGAGGAGCAGAAGGTTGGGCAGGCTTGAGTGGGGTTCTCCTTTACGCCCGTCTGGCCTCGGTGTTGCAGGCCTCCATGTGGGCCGAGGAGGGCCAGCGGATGTTGGCAGCGCTGGAGCAGGAGAGCCCGGGAGTTGTGCTGCAGCGGCTGGCGCCGCCACGGGGCCGGGCCCCC